TAACCAAATTTGCATTTTTGGGTGAATTATTCCTTCATTGTAGCATAGCTGTGTAGATCACTCAGCCTGACCCTGAAGGGGCTTTAGTTTGGCTAAGCAGAGTGGACAGGAAGGCCTGCTGAGGCCTCTGGGTGAGAGCTCTAGTTTCATCTGACAGAGATGGAAAATAGCAGAGTAAACAGTCTGGATGCCTCCAGCTTGGTAGTCATACTTTACCTGTCCAATATGTGCAGCAGTAATGTTGACGTTAATTGGGGCGACGAGAATGCATAAACCATCACGCCTTGATCTAAGGTCAAAAATGAAATAAATGAATCAATGCAAAGCTTGACCTTGAATCTGCTGACAAAAATGAAAAATGTTAAATCCTTATGTTGATTTTTAATGTTATATTGTGGTCAACATATTTAGTTTGTGTCATCTTATAGCCACTGCACTGTGTGAGTGGGCAAAAATCAAAGGCAGTATTGAATACATATTTTACAGAGAATATCCGAAATGGGGGATGATAAAAAAAGAAAGCAAATAAAGTGCAAATTGCCAACCAAAGGCTTTTTTCACTAACTCTGTCCTCCATTGCTCAGATAATTTAGCCTTCGTGCAAACAGCACATGATTTCTATTTACACATTGCATGAATATCATCTATCAGTATTTGCACTTAGTGTGAATATGATGCTATTTGTAGCTCTTTACATATGGTGCACATGGTATCCAGCACTATATTTACAGTCATTGTAAGTAGCATATAGCTTCTTTTGAATAGCTGCTGCCTAAATATAATTCATTCAATGCCAAAAAGTATTAAAATAGTGAGGTTCAATTGCCTTTAGGATGTTGCCAAAAAGTGTATTAGCATTTCAGCAAAATATCACGGGCAAAAGGTCCATTGTTCATTATCACACAGCCCTTTCTTTTGATCAGTGTGACAAAGTTGTGTGACCAACTTGAACCTGTTGTGAAATCTGCTTGTGGAAGTCTTTCATACCCATAAGAATTTCCCAATTGCATGGATTGCCATTGAAATTACTGGATTTTAGTGCATGACAATTTGCTTAACAACTTTAAACAAGACCGTAGCTTTATACAGCAAGGCAGCTTACTAAGAGCACAAGTGTGTGTCTAGTCAAATGACTGCAGTATAATGACTGCATTAGACAGTGTATGACTGTATCAGACCATTATTACATAAGGTCTGTCTCATATAGCTGTAGGCAGGAGGACATTGTGCAAATATGTTGCAGTAATGCATTCAAAATACAGTCTATATAGTGGGATACTTAAATCCGCAGGAAGCATCTTAATTTCATATTTATATTTCATTTTATATTTATTTTAATTTTGAATTTAATTCACTTTTTGATTGTATTTTCTGGCTTGATTGGATTGTGAAATGCTGCTTATCCCATTCCTCATTTCAAGTGTATAAAGAGGTCAGCAGTATGCATACAAGCAGGTTTTAATATAATTTTTTAGTGGAGTAAATTCATTCTCACTATATGTCCATTTGATTCCCACCACAACAGATTATATTGTTTTTAGGATGCATGTTCAGAAGTCATTTTGTATTGATTCCAAATGAGGGCACATTAGAATAAAACAAATATAGCTGCTGTTCAATTAAACCAAAGGCATTGAACAATAGTCATCGACTGGGCCAGCAGGCTGAGAGAGAGTTCACATGGTCCACTGCTAAAGCGGAGCGCAGGACATAAAGGATTAAACCGCTTAAAGGAATTAAGAAACGGTTGGCCGTTTATCAATTATTCATGCAATAGAATCAAATTAAATGGCTTTTATAATGGGTAAGTACAGAAGGGGTCTCTTTAGAGAATAGATTGCATGCTACACAGATTACTCTGCTTTTGTATGACGTTCAATGAACTTTCCAAATCAGCTGGTTTGATTGCATTTTGAAAACTATAAATTACTTTTAAAACTCTTTTATATGTCAATGCTGTTAAACCGATGCATGAAGGATTGATTGAAGTTGCATCATTTTTTCTTTGGCATCATGTGTTTGTCATTAGTTTGCTTTGTGTGTGTGCCGTGAGGATAGTTTGTGGTTCTCCACCACAGTGGAAATAAGCTGTATCAGTACGCCCTGCTGAATACCCCTGTACTAATGTAGAAGGAAGACTTCTGCTGAGTGTGAACTGAAGTGTCACTCTTGCTCTTGTCTAGCTGTAGGTCTCTCGATCTGTCATAAGAAGGACCTTGGGTTCGCTGAGGTCACCGTGAGGTTATTTATAGAAGGTCACCATTGTGACACAATGGGTCAGAAACCTGACAAACAATTAACGAGCTCATTATTAATTCATGGAGGGAGAAAGCTGTAATGTGTTCTCGATGTCTCTGATGTGTTCTTCAATCACTTACCTGGAGCTCTGAGAGAATTATTCACACTGAACTTTGTCTGGTGTCTGTGAGGAAGTATCACTGAAATCCTCTCCAGCCTGTGGGAATTTGGTGATATTTGTAGACTTGTAAAAGAGTGGAAGATCTATAGAAAAATATTTTATCATATTTGTAATAGTAGCAAGCTGTTGTTTACCTTCCAAGTCTATTTCAGTGACCAGAAACAGTTCTTATGCCACTCACTATATTTCCATCCCATTACTACTGTATATTAATATATACAAATTTGCAGCAAATCTTCAGTAATAGCAATCTACATGCCAACTCCAAAGACCCTGTTGGATAAGTATTTACGGTATACATAGCTTAACTGTATTTTCACCAGTAGTACCCGTTAGTTTATTTCATGTAAATTTGCACTTCTTTGTAAGTATTTGGAGTTTTTCTTTCTGCGTTTTCATTCACATTTCTGCCTCAAAGTAAAATATAAAGATAACTGGGAGAAAATTTGAAATAAATGCTAATAAAAATATTTTCTTGCAAGCTAGAAATTAAGATGCAGATTATGAGATGTCAGCTTTATGTTATGAGAGTAGTTATGATGTAGTTATGAAGTTATGACATATGAAGTCACAATTAATAATTTAGAAATAAAGTTATTAAAATAGCCACAAGTTTTGGGATATGAAGATATGGGATACAAAGGCACAAATATTAAAATAGGCCCTCAATTAGAGATATAAAGAAATGATTGAGCTATTAAAAAGGCACAATTGTGAAAGTCACAATTTTGAGATATTAAGGTCCAGTTGTGGAAAAATAATTGCATTGGTGAGAGCAATTACTAAAGCAAAAGTTGCTATTTATATATAAAGGGTATGTATAGGATCTTTATATAAGATAAAATTGTGATATATAAATGTCCAATTGGGGAAAATACTTGCATTTGTGAGATATATCACAGTTAGGAGAAATAATAATGGTAATGGTTAGTAATTTTAAATTTGTAAGAATGCTTGAATTATACTTTTTGAGATGTTAAGTCACATTTATGGTAAAGTGCAAATGCAATTGTGCTAACAGCAGTACTGGGAGAAATAAGGCCATAATATTTTATTTTATTTTTCAGAAACAGGCTTCCAAACACACACACTCACACACACACACACACACACACACACACACACACACGCACTTACACACACGCCGTCTTCACATAAGAACAGAAATGCCTGAATATAATTGCCGCAGTGTTTGGCTCTCAGCAACTGATATTAATCCACAAGTAATGTTTGTTATCCTGCTAAAATGATACAGTTGCTGTCACACAATTGTGATTAGCCAAGACGTGTGTAAATAAGCAGACCTTTCCCAGCTATTCGTGATCTCACAGCAAAGAAATACTGTAATATGTATTAAGGAGATTAAATGCATTACACACACACGCACTCACACACACACACAAAAACAACAACTGTTTAATAGCAAATAAATTACTTCAATTTCTTGTGGAAATTTAAATCAAATTTATACGTTTACCATGAAGACACAGAGAATGTTTATTAAAGAATTTGTCCTCATAATATTTGCATACTGAATTGCATTTGCTCTTCTTTCTGGCATATATTTGTATACTGAACTCTGTTTGGTTGTTTCTTTCTCACATCTATTAACCATCTATCCATCTCGTTACGTGTCCACTGGCATGAAAGAAACCCGCTCAATACAGTCCAAACCACCAGCAGTCTGCCACTGCAAAACACACAGCAGTGTGCTTGTCTCCACAATGATCTATGATAACGTCAATTAAGTCATCGTGTATATTACTGATTATTAACCGAACACGCAGTTCGCATACATCACAACACACAGTTTGCAACTGCATAACTCGTGATATGTAGAGACCTTTCCAGCGTTCACAGCAGTATCCTGGCCCAGAATCCTCTCACTGCGTGTGCATTAGGCATTGCTTAATTTTGTACACTCACATATGCTCCCACACACACCCTTGAGGCCAGCCTTAAATTAGACAGACGATGCATTTCGCTCTCCTCGCTCTGAGTGTCCTCTTGTCTCGCTGTGATTGACGTGTGGTGGGTGTGGCGGTAAGTAATTCGGTCTAATCATTCCAGCAGGCCCCTGGCTGTGTGAGCTGCGGGTGAATATATCAATGCACACAAACAAACACACTGCAGAGTGCAGGACCTCCGAGCCAAGCGCTGGGACTAATGTTCATGTTGTGATGTACTTGGGGATTTCGCTTATCAGACTCTTAATTTGAGATATTGAGGCAGAAAGGAGGTAGGATCTGTGTGTGTGGTAGAGGAGCGATAAAGAATTTGTGATTGATGTTGTGTCAGTGTGGAGCCGTTGAAAGCCTGCGGAAAGAGGCAGGGCCGTGTCAGATTTTCGAGGCTGGATCGCTGTAATTGGTCTGGGCTGTTCATAGCCCTGTTAACTTGTCAGTCAAGGCTGGATGGAGAGGGGATAAGATGCCATCTTAATCTGAGAGCGCACACACACACACACACACACACATTGAGCTGAAGGCTGCAGCGCGGGTCAGTGATCTGTCAATAGTTCTGTAAGTTATTTGAGTTTGCTGTATTTAATGCATCCCTTGCTTTTTGATGCCACCCTCAGGTACGACTAGACAGCCACGAGACGGCGAGATCACGGGAGTCGACTATAACTTTGTCTCCGTTGAGGAGTTCTTCTCGCTGGAGGAGTCGGGGGCGCTGTTGGAGAGCGGGAAGTTCAAAGGTCAGCCCACATTTACGACCCCATAACTGCATAATTTATGAATATAAAGAAGAGGAAGAGTAGAATTGCAGTGCAAATTAATTGCTGCATTGTTTTAATGTTCTTTAGATGTTTTTTACGGTCATGCATTACATCTATGGCACTTTTGTTGATCTATTGATTCACAGTTCTAAGAGCTCCATTTACACACATTAACATGCATCAACACAACTGTTGTGTTGGCAATACTTGTCTATCCAACAGCTCAAAGTTAAAAGGGATCATTCACCCCAAAATCATCAATTTATTTGGATTCTCACACCAAGCCTTTATGACTTTTGAAGAGCCTGTTATGGTCATTTTAGTTCTTTTTGGAGCTTGACAGTGCTCATCATAGACTTGTTGTTGTTAATAGAAAATTGTTGTCCAGGAATTTCTAATAAATACCTTATTTTGTGTTATACGAGACAAAAGTCATATCTGATATCAAGAAAATATGATGAAATGGAGCTGTATGTCTGAGACCACTAATGAAAATGCTTCTATTTTGCATTTTCCCTGTAATTTAATATTAATAGATACATAGGGCCAGATTTACTAAACAGGGCAAATTAGCGTTAGAGCGCAATTCCATAAAACCACCGATGGAAGGGAAAAATTCTGCGGGTGATTTACTAACAATGCGCACATTAAAGAACACAGACGCAGCCAGATCATTTCCATACTGACCAGCGCAATCTACCAAGAGCAGAGCAAATTACCGCATGCTTTAAGACATGCTTTTTTGGGGCGTTAAATAATGGCGCAAATACCAGTAATTTGACGTGCGCAGCTGTTAGTAAATCGTGTTGTGTGATTCATTTTAACATTTTGCATCTCAAAGGGAAACTCTAACAAATACATATTCAATAAGGTCAGGTTCAAAAATAACTGTGTCCATGCCTTTTCAGTGCTAATTCTTCACTGTGCATCTTTAGTGAATCCTGACAGTACTATTTTAATGCCAAAAGACGGTTTTGTGCTGGGGCAAGCTGTTAGTAAATCTGGCCCTTAAGGTTTCTATTCTATTCTATTCTATTATGAGCATAATTTAAATGAAAATATGAATAAAAAATTTTCTGCTCAGTATTTTTCAGTTGGTTAATATGCCTTTTATTAATGGTATTTTAATATCTTAATATATTAATGTAACAAACGTTCGTAGGTCGGGAAGAAGGAGGCGGGAACCGGCGAACATTTAAAACTTTAATCAAATAAACAAACACAAAATGAAATTAAAGCGGCAGCCCCTCGCAGACGACTGCCGCACACCAAACACAAAATAAACTCCAGGCCTGGTCCTCTCTCGTCCGACACTGTCGTCACTCCTCCCTTTTATCCTTCCGGAGCTCCTCCGTGAGACTCGAGACCGGTGAGTGGTGCAGGTGTCGCTCATTATCAATTACTCCACCGGCCTCGCTCCGTTCCCACGGCTCTCGCCCCGCCCCACTCGTCACAATTAATATGATTGAAGAATCAAGCAGCTCAACCTGACTGATGTATTGTAATATGGCACTAATATCTAAAATACAGTGATATCACACATGAGAAAGTCAAACCGATCACAGAATAAGTTGCCTATGAGCAAGTACACTGTAAAAAAAGAGTGTAATTTTAACAGTAAAATATTGTAAAAAGGCAATGGAAAAGGTTGCTACAGGTTGTTCTGTATGTTTACATTTTTATTGTATTTTTTACAGAATTATTCTGGAAACCACAGCTGCCAGGATTTTTGTAAAAACAACAGAATTTTTTTTTACTGTGTGTTATTTCACTTTAGTTTATCTCATTTTGTCTCGTCAGCTGTAGCCTTTAAGTAACTGCTCATTTTTTCCTTATTTTTTCCAATTTTACTTATTGTAAATTGGAGAAATGCTATCAGGTTTCTACTTTGAGCCACACAAAGTCAGTTTATACTAACAAAAATGCTCATTGTCCATTACACAGGTAATATACCATCTAAAATAGTCATTTCAGTGCAAATGTATCGCAATTCAATGTTCATTTTGGAATTGGAAGCTCATTCGTCTTCATCATTACTCTGGGCTCTGTGACACATGTGCCTTTAGCATGTTAGTTATGGCTCTCAGGGGCAGGATCACCTACCTCGCCTGATTAAACAAATAAAATGTATTAGCATAAAAAATGCTGCCGCATTTACAAAATGCTATAAACGCCATTCTCACCTTGCCGACACGGCAAGATATGATTTACTTACAACTGTAAAGGCAAGTCAATAACAGATGGAGATCAGGGTTCAAATCTGTTGAAAGGTCTGAAGATATAATGTCACTCCTGTTGTATAGTGTTCCATCCTTGAGGTGTTTTTTATGCTTTTAGAGAATATACTATGGCAATATGATTATCATGCGTTATTAAGGTGACCTTGATTGCAAGATTTTGTTGCTCCTCTTGGCTATTTGTATTAAAATAAAGCTATGATTCACTCTGCAATTAATAATCATGCATATCCATGGCTTTAATCTAAACTTAAATCCCTATCCTATGTAAATTGTTATGTTAAAAGATACTAATAATACATATGAGATCAAATGTGACACATTTCCTGGACAATGAGGTCAGAGTGGTTCAATGTTTTGCAGCGGATATTATAAACCCTAAAATAAGAGCCTAAAGAAACTCTTCATATAATAACTGCTGAGCAATAATTGTCCCTGAAAGGCCTGAATGACATGCTTTTTATATTTACTGGATTAGGGAACTACTACGGAACCCCTTGTCCGGTTCACATCAATCCTGATAGTCCTCCCATCACCTACCAGGAGCACCGCAACCTGCTGAGAAACTTCCGCACACGTAGCAAGTCCCTCAGCAACCTGGAGAAAGCAGGCGAGGAGGGAGACAACAGCGAGGAGGACTCAGGTCTATCAGGTAGGAAGAATACCCATCATTCACAGCATGCACCTTGTGTTTATTAAATGTTTTTGGTAAATTTGTTGCAATACTCTCATATACCAACCCTCAGTACATTGGATAAAAATGGCTCTATTCAATATGCAAATGATTATGCAATTCTCAAATGTCTTTATATTCATATTATATTTTAGTAGGTTTGTGTATATGAAATAGGTTTACAAGATATAGTCGTAAATGTAATTTATATTTGTGACCCTGGACCACAAAACCAGTCATAAGGGTCCATTTTTCGAAACTGAGATTACTGAATAAATAAGCTTTCCACTGATGTATGGTTTGTTAGGACAGGACAATATTTGGTCGAGATACAACTATTTGAAAATCTGGAATCTGAGGGTGCAAAAAAATCTAAATATTGAGAAAATCGCCTTTAAAGTTGTCCAAATGAAGTTCTTAGCAATGCATATTACTAATCAAAAATTAAGTTTTGATATATTTACGGTAGTACCCCAGAGACTTAAGACTGGTTTTGTGGTCCAGGGTCACATTTGTATTATGTAAAATTATATACATTTTTTTACTACAATGATGTAGTATACATTTTAAATGCATAACTTTATATAGATTTTTAAATTATATGACATTTGATAATTAAAAAAATAAAAAAATAATTAAATATTTATTTATTTCTGACTATAATCAAACCACATTGTCCCCATGTTTTTCCATTGTATTCTGGTGATGTTGGATTGAGTTTAAAATGGCTGCAATTTGTGATCTCTATTACAGTGTGATTTTTATTACATTCTGAAGTCTCATACTTCAGAATGGACCTGAATTCTGTAACTTATGGACAATATGGGTCATACAAACACTAAATAGATACATACTTTATCCACAATTTCTTTTTTTTCATGAAATAAAAATAAGCGATACTATTCTAAATAATTGAGTTTAAACTTGTCAGATCAAGCTAATACATAGATGCCTGAAAGTGGCTGTGCTGAGTGGCTGTGATTATTCTTTGTTTTTTCTTGTCTTGCATGCTCAAATTGACAGCAGAGTAGTTACCAGGCAAATAATACTTTTTTTTCAGTCATTGTTTTCCCGCTCTGATGTGAGCTCTAACATATTTTCTTTCTTCTTGAGGAGCCTGCAAACCTGTGTTCCGTGTGTTATATTTCAGGTTTTCTTGTCCTTTATTATTATTCCACCTTTCCCAAATTCACATTTGGATCTGAGGAGAAAACACAATATCAGGCACAAAACACAATAGGGATGCACCGAAAAAGGAAAATTCTTGGCCGAAGCCGAACAAAATGAAACACAGGGCCGAAGGCCGAATACCGAACACGGTTTTTCACATTTTTTCCCCCATGTAGGCCAATTTTGCCATTTTTTTCACCATTGCATTAATTTAATTGCCAAAATGTGCTTTTTACTGTTTTGTCCTGCTTTTCAAATAAAAAAATAAATTAAAAAACAACAATTTAAAAATATTTACTTAACACTGAACATTTTTTTTACATTCTAGCAGACATTAAATTAATAAGTTAGTAAAATAATATTTTTTGGCCATTTTTGAGACTTGAATCAGGCATGTATTTTTTACTGTACAAATAAAGGCAGCCTTGCTGAGCAAAAGAGAATTCTTTTAAAACATTAGAATATATTACAGATCCCAATTTGAACACTATGTGTGAATGTTATACTAAATGTATTAACAGAGCTGTTGTAGGGGAATTATTATTATCATTATTATTGTCTTACTTTTTTATTTTATTTTACAGAACGACAGTAAAATTACAATACTAACATTTATGAATGTCGATGGAGTTGTTGCTTTTTCTCGACTTTTATTTTGGCAGAACTCCGCAGGAAGATCTCAATGCTTCTTTTTGTTGACGACAGCATGCAGATTTATAAATGATTCTCATTACGAATTTGGGAAGATGTTTGTCGCACGTATCACAATGTCACATGGCTTTAAAAAAATTCACCAAAATGTTACTGAGCAACTGACGAGTAACAAGTTCAGCTTTGACAAGGACTTTGAACCCTGGCGCCGCGAGCTCGTGCAGCGCTGTCAGAATACATGCAATTTGTGCGTGCATTAGAAAATATAACATTCTGCAGTTTATTTACTAATCGTTTGAGGCCATTTCGCGATTTCAATCATCATACAGTAACCTAACCACCAGCATTAGCCACCTCATCTTCTCATTGGAGACGTGATGCAGCACTAAACAGTCTCTCGCTGTTGGTGCTTTGTGCATGTAATGATTTCTGCGTCTTTCTCTGATAGTTTTTAAATACTTTCACACTGCCGACATGTTTGCTGCATTAGCGCGTGCCTCTATTTGATCGCATTCGTCATTGTTCGGTACATATTATTCGGCCTTTCCGCTTATTTGGCCGAACAACGAAAGAGATTTGCTATTTTCGGCCGAATAATTTCGGTTGCCGAATATTCGGTGCATCCCTAATATAATATATCACAGAGGCTTGTCATTACACAGAATTATCTTGTTATGAAACCACCGATTTTTGGTATTTGATTTTCTTTCTCTTTTTCGAAGACATGATTAAAGTACATATGATTTGTATCGAAGACAGATGTTTTATAATAAGTGTTGGTTGCAGAGCAAATAAAAGGTCAGTGTGACATCAGTCTCAGTCTCTGTTCTCCCGGAGATCTGGAGAAATAGAAGTGGCACTGGTTCTTTTGCAATATAATGAGCTTCCAAGCATTCCAATTGCTCTAACTGCACACTTCATGAAGACCTTTGAGAGACTGGTCTTTGAACAGCTCAGATCCCAGTCACAGACCATCTGGGCTTTACTGCAGTCTGCCCACCAGCCACACATTTGACAGGATGCTGTTCTGACCTACATACTCCACAGGGCATGATGCTCCCACCTTGATAAAGATGGCACCACTGCCAGGATTATGTCTGTCTGGTTAGGTTTCATTTTGACTTTTCCAGTATCTTAAACACCATTCTGCTCTCTTAAACTTGAGATCAAGTTTATGTTGATGAGCCCACATCTAAGAATGCAGACTCCCCTACCTGTCTCAACCACTTTAATAGGTTTGAATCACAAGTAATCGGATTTTCCTTGGTATGTTCAGGTAAAAGTGTTCATAAGAAATCAAAAACCAACCATTTAGCATAATTTCATTAGTGGTTAACTGATATATTGCCAATGCTGATATTAATTATCGTAATGGCTGATGAGTTTTCCTGTGTGGCCGATGTGTCGGAAGCAGGACTTTTATTTTGACAGCTTTAAATTCTTGATTTCAGTCTATGCTGCTATATCTAGTTGGCCGCTATGTTGTATTTATATCATATTCACTGTATGCTGTATGTAAAATTAGCACTGCCTTTTCTTTATTTGGAAAAATAAATAAATAAAAAGATATCCAGTCCTGACACACTTACCAGATTACTGATTGCAATGTTGGTTATAGTGTTTACTTCCTTTTAATTTTAATTTTAATAATTTTTAATTACATATTTTTTAATTAATAAATATAATGTAAAATAAATATAAATTTAATTTCAGCAATTGTTATGCAGAGTTTTTAATATATTTAAATTAAATAGAGAGCAGGGTGGCCAATATACAGTATATGATATCACACTAAGATATCGGCATAGGAAATAAAAACAATCTATGTTGTTCGATCACTATATTTCAGTCCAATCTTAACAGTTCAGTCAACAAGTGCCACATTTCAGCGCTGATTGTTTTGTGATATACAGTTAGTCTCAATGCAGTTCTGCTGTTGCAAAGAGATTTGTGCACTGCTGAAAGTAAATTTAGGAATGTGATGAGTAAATGTTTAGATGTAGCTTTAACAATATGATTTATAATTTACATTTAAAGTTAAATTTAACATTTCGATGTTAGCTCAAACAGTAGAGCATGGCGGCAGCAATGCCAAGGTCATGGGTTAAATTCACAATACTAAAGTACTGATAAATGTACACTTCAAATGCAATTCAAGTCTCTTTGGTTAAAAGCGTCTAGCAAAAAACGCTAACATTTACATTTTGCTAAATAATTACATATTGCAAAATATTATCCATAAAAATTTTGTTTTTCTGCACATGAACTCGATTAAATATACCATAGCATATGGTATGTGGACTAAAAACAGTAAAATTCATTGCCATATCCATCATGATTACTAAAATAGCATCTGTATGCCAGAGTTCACAGCATCATTCGCCTCCTGGTAAATATCAGTGCTGTTAAAGCAGATAGAGTGTGTATATATGACACTCCAGCCAAGGGTGTATGTGTTTGTTTACAGCTGGGCTTATGATTCTAGTGGGAATATGATAATTACCTCAGTACAGAGTGCAGGTTGCAGATGTTCAGGTCCCAGCTGGGGATCTTTCATATCCACTTTTCTTTGTATACAAGCACATATGGTATTTCAAGTGATATAAGAGGATGTCTTTATATTAAGGAATAATTGTTGAGTGAGGGACAGTTTCAGTTTAGCAGCAGAACAGCTTTCTCCTTAGATAATTGAACAGCCATTCAACATATACGGACAATGTATTTTAAGTTGCAGTGAATTACACATTATAGAGGCACAAAACAATTGTAAAAGCTATAGCTTACCCTTGAGAAAAAGAAAACTAAGTACACTTTTGCATGCTTTTAATAGAAGTACTTGGTTTGGAAATAATATTAATATCTTATACTATTATATAAGGACATTCATGCAAAATGAAGGTTAATTTTTCAGACACTTGTTTGTATGTTATTTGCAATTAAAATGAATGCATTATAGTTTTTAAATTTATATTAACTGCAATTTAACTTAACCTAAAAGTGCTTTTTGACACTTAAGTAAGACTTCATATTTAAATAAGCAATTTCATAATTCTAGAAATATGATTTAAGTGTGCTGCTGTATGTACTGACAAGCATTTACAGCAATTAAATATACTTAAATGTCATTTCTATAGAAACTTGTATGTCATGTATTTGTA